CTTATGTTCTCATTTAAAGTACCTTCATAAAACCTTTCCTTATTACTTACTTACAAAAACTAAAACATCATTAAAAAATAGTTAATTTTCTATTTAAGTAAAAGAATTAAAAGTTTAAGTCTTCAATGGATCAATATGATTAACCATTAAATGTCAATAAGATAGTTAACCAACTGAGCAATCGAGGACTTGCATATTACAAAACACGAGTGAGATCTACATTCCGCAACAATGGCATGTACATATGTTAACTTCGTGTATGCAAACGCTCGCACATGTACGCGTGTGCTTATATAAAAGTAACGTATACAAGCATGTACGTTATTCCATACGAGTGAGCAGGTGTAAACGCAAACGTGTGCATGAAAGATTGAACATTTATACATACATGCACATATACGTACACATATATCGAGCGCTTGAACCCTTGTCTAACAGCGGATAAAGAAAGAGAGAACACTCGACGGAATGACACATACACACACACACACACACACACACACACACACACACACACACGCACACACACACACACATATATATATATACATAACGCATGGGCCCTATCTTACAGCACAAGGCTCCACCACTGACGCAGTATTACATTATCCCTACCATCATGCTAGGAGTGTTGGAGAGGGAGAGAAAGAGAGATAACGCATAGACCCTTGTTTAATAGCACAAGATCTCTGGAAGCAAGATATACATATAACGCTTGGTCCCGTTTAATAGCTCGTCTTATAGTACCCCCTTCCCCCTGGCGCAGTATCGCACTATTGCCACTACTACCCTTCGCCACTACCATGCTGGGAGTAAGAGAGGGATAACGCATGGACCCTTGTCCAATAGCACAAAGAGAAAGGGAGAGCACTCTGAAAGCAAGATATACATATACATATATATATATAACGGACCCCGTCTAATAGCTCGTCTTATAGTACCCCCTGGCGCAATATCGCACTATCCCCACCACTACTCTAAGGGGCAGCTGGGGAGGGGCGCAAAATCAGCATAGTTTATCTACTACAAATTCTACAAGCAATTTTGTAAAGACGTAAATCTGACAGCAGACGATGCTAGATTCTCTCCCATACACTTAGCATAGGACCTGCTCGTGACTTTGTTTATGTTTGTACAGATATCTTTTCTAAATGCCTGATAAAGTACATATTTTTTTTTTACCAGAGTCTTCCTGAGGAGTTAAGCTATCCATTTGAACTTTTTCCTCATTATAAATACATCTCTTGCTTCGAAATTTGTGCAACAAAGGCTGTATAATCGCTCTTACTAATAAGAGCAATGTTAGATAATGCGATTTTGGAAATTTTTTTCTCGAATATTCGGCTGGTCAAAAATATTGAAAAAATTTATGCGTACTTCCAGCATATTAAAGTACAACATAAATTTTTTTTCAGCGAGTGAATACATCTCCTCAAAAACGACCGAGCCTCCTTAATCGATTACTAAAAAAGATTCATGTTTGCCTAAGCAATTGCTGTATCAATGAAATATCATTGCGCAGTTAATTAGTCTACTCAAATAAATTTTAAACTGAAATATATCTTTGTATTATCTAAAATCTCCACCTATTGTGATGTTTACTTGTTTTGTATTGCATTCAAAAGTATGTAGTTTAAATATGTGTCTACTCTTAATTATAAGGCAACACATTTATCGATTTTTATAGCCATGTCAATGGCAAGTACTTAAACTTTAATCATACGTCGTACCAAATACTATATAAACAAATAGCTTAACTATTTGGTTATTGTGTTGGATTTAATTGTACTTGAAGTTCATAAGTCTTGTAATAGTAATCAAATTAAACAACAAAAAATTTTAATTATTTTTGTTCAATATAATTTTTAATGTTATCTCGGCATACCTGCAAAATAACTTGCAAAGCTTTCTATGGTGTTTCCCGTAAGTTTCTGTAAAATCTTAAAAAATCCATACGACCAAAACCTGATGTTTTGATAAAACGGTTTACTGATAATTCGTGGTATATGCTACGTATTATATTAAATTAGACAATTAATGTTTAAAATAATAGATTTTGCGATGGTTTTTTTTTTTATGTTATCAGCCGTACCCGAGTAGTGCAAATTTCAATTAAAAAATGCTACTGCGAATAATTGTTTTCATAGTAGCATAGCACAGCTTGAGTTATTTTCCAACTGTTTATACCGTGTGCATATGTATAACTTCGCAAATCTAAAGCAAGTATTTGTGTTATTCTTGTTATTCTTGTTTTTTTTTTCTCTTAGTCTAAAGACTTGATTAAAAAATAAGCTTTTTAGAAGTTAATACAGTTTATTTAAAGTGTAGCACCAGGTATTTACTCTCTTCAAACCTAAACGTATACACATATTTTGTTTTTCATTAGATTTGTACCTGTATTGCTAGGAAAAATCTGATTAAAATACTAGACTCATGATGGTCTGATTCATTGCCTGAGTTGCTTTTTTATGTTTTAAACCTTAACATAGAATACCCAATGTTATAATTGTATCACACCAATCGTCTAATCTCACTTTATTGTGAAACCTTAGAGTTAAATGGATTAAGAGATCATTAAATGGAAACATATTACTCTAAAGAAGAATTTAAATATTTTGTTACAAATTTCTGTTTTATATTCATTGTTTATAGATTTTATTGTGGAATTAAGAATTATGTGCATTAATTTTTAATTCTCTTTTAGACCATTGCTGATATTATAAGAACCTGCCTAGGACCTCAAGCAATGTTGAAAATGCTAATGGACCCCATGGGTGGAATAGTAATGACCAATGATGGTAACGCTATATTACGAGAAATAACTGTTCAGCATCCTGCTGGAAAATCCATCATAGAAATAGCAAGAACTCAAGATGAAGAAGTTGGTGATGGCACGACATCTGTCATTGTCTTAGCAGGCGAATTGCTTGCTAACGCTGAGCCGTATTTAGAACAAGGACTTCATCCCACAGTTATAATCAAAGCTTATAAACGAGCGCTTGATGATATTATTAATGTGTTGAATGATGATGATAAATATCACTTAAGTATACCATTAGACTGTACGAATAAAGTAAAATTAGCTGAAGTTCTTAAGTCTTGTGTGGGTACAAAATTTATCGGACGTTGGTCTGAATTGACTTGCAAAATAGCTCTAGAAGCAGTAACAACTATCTCATCCAAGCCTAATGGCTTCCACGAAATTGATATCAAACGCTACATCAAGGTAAAAACTTTATTTTTTTTCAAATTCAAAACACTACAATTTGTTAACCTACATGAATCTTCACTTCTGTTGAGTAATTTATCTTATTCATGAATGTTTTTTGGAAGTAAACTTTTTTTAAAATTTTATTCTTTTAGTTATTTATGACAATAGAATGTAGAATAATACTTATTTAACGAGCTCATTACGAGCAAGATCTTAATTTACTGTTAACAATAATTCAATTTAATCAATAACAACTTAAAAGTAAATTAAAACTAATGAAAAAGAGGATTTTGAATTCGGTACAAGTGGATCAGTCAAAAGAGGGGCCTTAACCATTTGTAAGTAAATTCTGAGTAAAATTAGCTTACAATTCTAAGTGTTCTGGTATAATAATTAAAGTTCTTAAATAGTTTAACTAGCTAACGGTATTCGTACTGCACTTAATTACAGTAAAAAAGTAGTTTTTGCCCACAGTTTTATTTTATTTTTTTTTTTTCTGTAGAAGTTGCAGGCATTTCTGAGTTACACTTGTTGATGATTGGAGGCCTTGCGCGTGTCATTGTATATTTAAGATTTTTTTTCAAATGTGACTGCTTTTTAAAAAGACATTTTTTTAACGAGCTTGCTGCCTAGGAATAGTCCTTAAATTATTTAGTTGAGGCTTAATTTATTTAGTAAGGTAATTCAGGAGTATCATTAAAAAAAGAGAAAGAGGCCCCTTCCCGCACAACTTGGCCCCCTTAACCGCGCTCACCCTCTTGCACCATTTAATTATTAAACAATTATCAATTCGTAGGTTCTTATGTTATTACTGTTTTAGCAATATTTTTACAAATGTTCGTCTTTATATGGAAGACAAAAAGTTGACGTCCTACAAAAGTCTATGTTAATTATACGATTAACATTTATTTATTAATTTTTTTCTATATTTTACAACCACTTCTAAGAGCAGTGTCCAATAGGCTCTGCATTGCTGTGTTACTCTGCATGTATATGCTATAGTCATTGGCATATTAAAAAATCGCCTCAGATTCAATATGATCAGTCATTTATACAGCAATAGGTACTTTATTTCACACAGCTTCTGAACCATTGGACCACGATTTAAAGCACGCACATGAAAAATTGGTTTTTCAAAGATGTGAGCCAAGTATGTAAAGATCGAGTCTCGAACTCGGAAGCCACATTGCTGGTGCATGAATGCTTGTTCCACAATATAGATACTAAATTTACAATAAAGCGCTATTGTGCAGTTTACCGTATCTTATCCTTATTATAAAAATCGGTATGATCTATACAAATGATCACAAGAACAACTACTAACGGCAAAAAATATTTTGTCTAGATGTTGTGGAACTTCTTCCTAGGAAATAAATCATCAAAAACATTATTTTTTTTTACCAAATGCATTTTTACAACTGCTCAATTTACAACATTATTCGTTTGTTCTAATGTTACTTCGAATTCACTTACTTAAAATAATATTTAAAGAAGTATTTACTTACCAAATTCATTTTAGCTACTCAAGTCACAGCAGTAGTTTCCGTATTTTAATTATTTACCGTTCCTGACAGAAATAGAAAATGTTTGCTATCAAAGAAGTAGGTAAACTATGTGGGTACGGGCATAACTCCTCCCCCCCCTCTCGCCTGTGCTCGGTCCCGCGTGACTATGAACACAGGCTGTGCCGTTAACGCCCTGCTCAGTATCCCTACCTAAATCTCGACCATCAGAGTGAGCGCACGTTTAAAGTATGTTTTTACACTAAATTTCTTTAGATTTGAATGAGCGTGAATTTCATAATGTATATTTTTTTAAATTCACTTCTTATTCCAATCATATTGAAATAAGTGCGCATTTCAAAATGTATTTTAAAATAATTATTATTTTATTGGGATATTAAAAGAAACTAATTTTAAAATACAAATTTTCTTGTCCTCAATCAGATTTCATCTTCGTAGTAGGATAGAATTAGCAGAAAAGCATAGTTAATTTTGGGAAATTGCTATTAGCGCGAAAAAAATCATGGTGGTAAATCTATAACTCACGTTCATTTGAATATCAAGACTTAAAAATTAAATACAAGGTAGATCTTGTGCCTCTTAACATCAACACTAAATTTCAAGAAGATCAGTTGTAAACAAACTTTTTTCAAACCGCTGCAAGAAGCAAAAAATGTTCCCTGGTTGGTTTTTCAACATATTGCCATTTTTTAAACGGCATTGTACTCGTCGAGAGTTATTTTACAACCTACCAAAACGTCGTTTCGTTCAACATTCCGGAAGTATGCGAAGAATCGGTGTGAAAAATCGGCTATTTTCTGTGGATGCGGCTGAGCGGCGAACCGTCGCGACGCGTCGCCGTAGGCCATACCCTCTCTCCGCATCATAGCTCCGGAGTTTGGGAGCAGCTCGCCGCGCCGCTGCATCCACGGAAAATAGCCGGTTTTTGACATCGATTTTTTGCGTACTTTCGCAATGTTAAACGGAATGACGTTTTGGTAGGTTATAGATTAACTCTCAAAAAGTACAATACCGTTTAAAAAATGGCAATATGTTGAATAACTAGCCATGTCCAACTTTTTTGTAGAGAGACCATTGTTTGCTTCTTGCAGCGGTTTGCAAAAAGTTTACAACTAATCTTCTTGAAATTTAGTGTTGATGTTAAGAGGCACAAGATCTACCTTGTATTTAATTTTTAAGTTTTAATATTCAAATGAACGTGAGTTGTAGATTTTTAGAAAAACAGTCCAAAAGAGCTCTTTTTGGCAAATTGCGAAAAAACGGCTGAGCTAATTTTATTTCCCTGGAGCTTATTTTCTTCGTCTTGAAATTGCGCATCTTTTTCAATGGTACAACTTTTTTGTCCGACTCTCCAGTGTTTTTCTAAATGCAAAAAACCTTTTTTGACCACATTTGTCATTTTTTTTTTGGCCGTTAGCTGACACAATTTGGAGTCTAAAACTATTTAGATTTGTTCAGAAACCGAATAACTACCACCATTATTTTTTTCGTGATAAAAGCAATTTAATTTTTCAAAAAGCTAATTCTATCCTACTATCGGTCTCCAGAGTAATAGACAAGTACGCTACCGACTGTGCTATCGGAGAGTTAGGAGATATCTGTACTAATACAGATACGTTTGGAAGATAGTAGCATAGTACCACACTGATTTATTGACATAAAGAGCAAATGGCTTGAAGAAAACGTAAAGTTTACTTAATCGTTATCTGACGTTGTCGTATAGACAACTTAGAGATGACTTAAAGATAATTAAAATGTAGCTTCAAGATAACTAAATAATGATTTAACGGTAATTTAATGGTAACTATGTTTATACCTGTAAGGTGATCTAATGACATTTTTCACGTTTATTTAGCAGCATGCTTAATAAGAGCCTTAACCAAACGCTCTTATCTGTGAGGTACAATTATTGAAGCTTACCTCTTTAAAACAAGTGTAGCCAAATGGTTTAGTTTGCCTGTTGACTGCTAGATGGTGCTTGTAAATTAAATAATCACGTCATAAATGTTAACACAGCCATTTACAAACAAGGAATTTAATTCCGTACTAGACTCAGTAAAGGTCGATTCATCTCCTGGTCTCGATAAAATAGACTGTAACATCATGAGGCTTTTGCCAGAACGGTTTCTTAAAAATGATAACATGATCTCGCCAAACCGATTTGAATTTAGCAAAGGTAGGTCCTGCATAGATAGCTTAACGCTTCTCACTAACAAAATTAACGATTCCTTCTTCAAGGGAGATAGCCTAGCCGCCCTATTTTTGGACATTAAAGGCGCATTTAATATAGTGGTCCCAGGCCTTTTTCTCCAGGACCTCGCCAACCTGCATCTACTGAAATCCTATATCCAATTCTTCAAAAACTTAACGTGCGTACGATCGTTATCTCATCCCAGCGAACTCACCACACAACCATGACTCTATTAAGGCAGCCTCCCCCAAGGGTCAGTCTTCGACCCGCTGCTCTTTTCCATGTACATTGGCTTCCTGGATGGTCTGCTCGACCGGAATTTCAGGATTCTAAAATTTGCTGACGACCTGGTCATCTACGCGTGAGGTAAAAATATCACTGAGCTTGTTGTTGAGTTTGACAATTGGGGGAGAGAAAGGGGGCCTCCATGACTCGCTTGGTGCGAAGAATCTGACGCTGGAGCCAGATAAATGCTCATGGACGATCTTTAATAAAAATAACATTAAAACGAACGGCCTCGTTCTTTATCTTAACAACATGAAGATTAAGCCTGCCAGGTTCTTGGGTTTGCACCTCGACAGTAGACTGAGTTGAAAAACCCACGTGAACCACCTAAAAAATAGCTGCATCCTTCCCATGAACGTTCTAAGATGCCTCAAGGGTACCTTTTGGGGGGCCAACCTAAGTGTATGTCACATGTGTATCATCACTATGTAACCTAATATTAGTTTTATACTATCTATCTGATGTAAACTACGTAAAAATTTTGTAATATTCTCCATGATGTCTCATGGCTTGTAATTTATTTTCAAAGCTAATAAACATATTTTACAACTACTATGTCATAAATGTTGAATAGAATGATTCAACACTGAAAGCAATAGAATTACATCTATTCCATGGACTCAGGCAAATCTAGGAGAAACTTTTCGTATAGTCTAACGTTATCATGTGCACGGTTGGCTCTGTACGCCCTATCATGATATGGTCCAAGAGTGTTCAGTTTTATGCTATCAGTCAGAGCATAGCCCAAATCTGTAATATCGTGAACTTAGAATGTAAATTTCTCCAACCATTGTATTCTGAGTGATCCAAACACATGCACTTTCCTTGCATTGCGTAGGTGTTCTCAAAGAATTGTTCCTATAGTATTGTACGGGACGTTTTCTGACTCCCATGATTAGGCGTGAAAATAGTGTTCCAACCATTAGTTTTCTTTTTTTTATTTGTCTGAAAGTCATTGCCATAGAAATTGCTCTTTCAAGAGAGATACTATTCGCTGTGTGCAAGTGTATTGGCTC